TAAACATAGAGCTGCAATGACGATACTGGGATGTTCCCAATCATCACTGATGAGATCTGCCAGCCATTATAGGATGCGAGCTGATGAAGAATTCATCAATTTTCTTTGTAATATTTACTAAGAGTATGTATGTACAGCATCAGGTCATGGCTACATTTCTTATGTATTGGACAGTTGTACATATATTTTGTGTCACTCCAGGCTAAAAAGAAAAATAATGCCTTTCATAGGATTATGTAGGTGGTTGGTAAAAAAATACAATATTTTCTTGACAACTAGTTACATATGTGATAATTTGAATGATAAATGTTAGGTTGTCTTGATACCAGCAACTTCTTCAACTTCAGTTTTTGTGGTAACAAAAGCATAATTACGTTTTAAACATGAAAGTAAGTTTCGTTGAGTTTTCTTGACAACAAGTTACAGAGGAGATACCACTTTTATGGTCACAAGGTTGGTCAAGTTTCAGGAAGCCAGTATGTTTGGGGTGGTCCAATAAAACACTGTCCTGGATTACCTACACGGCCGTAACTAACACTGAAGAAACAAACCCATGACAGTAGCAAATATACAAAGTGCGGCCATGTTATCTGACATTACTGATGATAACCATTACTGCTATACAAGTCTTTTGAAAACATATCAACATAAAAAAACAAGATGATAGCAAAAAAACGATGTCCATCTTTCAGTACTTTGCAAGAAGCTACAATCTTGCACATATACAAACCCACAAATACATCAATCTCTCTGAAGAAGCCATTTCTTTCAACAATATTCGGGTGTATCGAGTGCACACTCGCATCAAGTACCAATTACTGCCAAATTGGTGTTATTACATTTTTTTGCAAACCAGAACATCCAAAATCCTTGAAAGAGATCTTAATCAACAGATTACACGATAACATCAATAACGCTAGCAGGATTGATAGGAAATAAAATTAGATCGCCTACAGCTTGTGGCTTTATGGATCTCATGGTGGGGTCACATTACGACAGAAGGCCAAAATATATTCTTCTTTCAACTAACATCAATTTCTCATAACATGCAATTTCTGAATATGCCAATGGTAAATATTCCACAGAATTACATTAGTTTTCACTTTAATGTTTAACTGCGAAACCATCATTTATATGAAAACCTAAAAAATAACAATCCTATGATTTTAACCATAATGCTGAAAAGAATGAAACATATCTTTTTTTTATCATTATTTTATAATGTTCAAGTAGAAAAAACATATTCAGTTCCCTTTTTGTATTATTTCGCCTATGGTATTGTTCCCAGTCTGTTCAACAGTTGGTTATTATGCAACAGAAGAATGTGTTATGTCAAAGAGTAATATAATTTGCCCTCTCTTTATTTGATTACATATGTACAAGAAATGACAGTCATCAAAGTGTTATAGACATTAAGTCCTTATAAAAATATTCTTCTCAATAGACGATAATGAAGTGTTACAGTGATTCTGGCTAACAAAATACATGCAATACTATAAAACTAAAGACAAGTGGCACTCATCAATCATGGGTTTACAAATTGTGCATTCTAACAATAAAACCTATGTGAAAAGTATGGCACGGTTGTAACATAAGATTTCCCCAGACTTCTTATAATGACTTTTTATAAAGATGGTTACAGAGACCATGAAAAGATATCAGTATTTTTCTGAGACATGATATATATTTTTAAAAATGTATAATTTTTAATCATGTTATATTGAAGTTGTTTGTCCAACCTCCTTATATCGAGGTATGGCTTCAAGAGCCAGGGAAGATGTCGTGCTAATTGGGTGATACTAGAAATAGTGTTGGCTAAAAGCATAGTCTTGTAGGTATGACCGGAATCAGTTCCTGCTCCAAGAGAGGATGCTTCGGTGCTATATATAGAGGTCATGTGACTACTTGCAACAGTGTAACGGTCATAGTTTGTGACAAAGTACTTTTGGTCTGCCAGGCATGAAATTTCTTGACAAGGAAGGATGAGGTTTTGTCGCAAAAAATGCCAGGATTTTATTTTTCCAGTTTGAGAAAGAACCATGACAAAATGTACTTGCATGTCAATCAATAACTGAAGAGTTCAAAAACTTTACAATCTTTTTAAAAATCATTTAAAAAACATCGCAAGACAAAACACTTTCCAGATTTGAAATGTCAAGAAATACCATAAATATTTTCAAAAGCGAAATATCATGAATTAATATTGAAAGAAAGCATCAATCAACCTAGCCACATCTACATTTGCAGCAAGCAGAAGATGAAGAACAAGAGTTTGATGGGAATATCCAAAAATGCAACCCATAAAACTTCATTAAATTTTCTTCTTGCAAATATATAATATGGCTGGGAAATCTCGGTCTGAATCCCTCAAGGGATGCAGCGCTGATGGCTACTGAGTCAGCCCCTTCAAGGCTGGGCTGGCATTAGGGACCTGGTGCTGATGCTAATGGTGGGGCCAGCAAGACCCAATTCATCATTGTGTAACATGCCCGATAGGGTTGAACAATCATCATTATTTAATACTTTGTTTCACAAACTATATCGTTTTGCATGAAAACTTCTCTTTATTTTCTCGTAGAGCTTGCTGTTATTTGCCGTGATAGATGCTGTTATAAAGATGCTGTGATCTCTCCAATAAAGATGTCGTTGCTGAACGTGTAGCAGGATATAAGTTATTGCTTTTACCTATCAGCACTGAGAACTGTTTTTCATTTGTTTGGTTCTAGTCTGTGTTTGAATGATCTTAGCAATGAGAGCAATGTCTTAGCACTAAGATCATTGGTGTAGCTGGGACCTGGATACAAAATATCTGAAAACAATTCATTTGCATAAACTGAATCAACTAACTGAATCTCGGAGGAACAAAATATGAATATGAACACAAGTCCAGTTTGAAAACAGCAGAACGACAAAAGCGATATTCAACAGAAGGTGTCCTATACTAGCCAACCACAAGTAAAACAGCAGCACAAGTGTGTTCATTGTTATGTAATTAATGAACATTACGAAAGTGTAGGAATGTTGTGCCTTGCTGGCACAGGAGGTTTCTGTTCTCCCCCAGGGCTTTGGAACAATACCCAGCATTCTTGCCAACTCCGCACAATGGGGAGAGTATACATGTTAGCAATGTGGAACACACAACACATATACTCAACCAGTCTAATGGACTACTGCTGACCAGGAGAGTCATGTATGACAGGAAGAGTCACGTTAAGGCATCACTACAGGTGTTGAACAGGTATATCCAACATGTAGCCAAATACAGGTGTTAACGAGAACAGGTGTACAAACTCTGAGGTCAAATACAGGTGTTAATGAGGACAGGTATACCAAACTCCTGACCCAAATACAGGTGTTAATGAGAACAGGTATACCAAACTCCTGACCCAAATACAGGTGTTAATGAGAACAGGTATACCTATCTCTTCATTCGCTTACAGGTGCTAATGAGGACAGGTATACCAAACTCCTGACCCAAATACAGGTGTTAATGAGAACAGGTATACCAAACGCCTGATCCAAATACAGGTGTTAATGAGAACAGGTATACCAAACCCCTTGGTCAAGTACAGGTGTTAATGAGAACAGGTATACCTATCTCTTCATTCGCTTACAGGTGCTAATGAGAACAGGTATACCAAACTCCAGACCAAAACACAGGTGTAAACAAGAAATGGTTTTCCTAACTCCTTGGTCAAGTACGGGTGTTCATGAGAACAGGTAATCTCCCTGTTTTAAATATACATTTCAGAATTTTCATGAAATACATATTCCAAAAAGCAGAGAGTCAGACAAGGAAAATAAATAGAGTAGTAATTTCTATTCATGTGCTCCTTCTGGAAAGCAATCTCTGACAGCCTATGGTTTTTCTCAGTGTCAAAAGTTCACCAAGTCCCAATCAAAAATGTTTTTTCCACCTCAGTGTCAAATTGTGTTGACCGCTAATATGATGATGATATGCCTGTGTTGACCCTCCTAACTGGGCACTTCCTGAGACAGGGGGAGTGTATAGAATTCCTCCACACCACTCCCCTATCAACAGATTTGGACAGGTTGAGTGTCACTGATTTAATAGCATGCACTTCCTGCTTACAACAATTTCAGTCATAGGGAATATTCCAAGAATGTTTTGAAAACATGTCAGCACACTGGTCCCCCTTCATAAATGACATTTTAACAGAATTCTGGTGTCAGGGCATCACACTTGCCAGGGCTGAATGACAATAACGGAAGTGTCCACGGCTCTCCCAACAGATATTCCCTAGAAGCACTTCCCCAGATGCATGTGGGCACAAGCACCTTGGATGGTGGGGGTTGGATGAGGGGATGGGGATGCCTGTGTATGTCTGTATCTTTCCTCAGAACCACTCACAGCCCAAGGAATGTGTGAAGAAGCACTATGTCTGGTTGGTAAGAGGAGATAGGGGCAGGGAGGGACTGGGGAAGTTAGTGGAAGTGATGCCTGCTTACAACCCCACATGATCTCATGAAACATGTCAGGAGGGGGAGAGAGAGAGAGAAGAGAGAGGAAAAGGTGTGGAGACTAGGTCCCTTCTCACCTCAGAATTATCATTTGAATACTTCCCAAAAAGCATGTGGGAACATTGCCTGACGATCCCTAACCACATTATTTCCCCTTCATCCCAAACATTTCTGTAAAAAGATTTTCAATGAAGCAAGTCTAGATTTTCCACAGGTTCATGTTCTGAATATTACACTAGAAAGGCTCCTTTTCAATGTAAATGGATAGGTTTGTTTGAGGCAAAATTACATATTTTCAGAGATTAAGCTTAGTCAACTGGGAACAGGGGATGGTGGAGGGGATGTACTGAATTAAATCCACGTATCTCCTCACATCTGTAACGACAGCACTACACCTGAAGTCTGAACCCCATCAGTGAGGGGATGGGAGACCTTCTTAAAATAGAAAATAATTTAACATCCAAGAAAATACATCCTGCTCAACTCATAGCACCATCCGAATAAAAAAACAAACACATTCTCCTCATTACAACATATCTGCATCAGTATCACTGCAGAAAACGTTCTTAATGAAAGAATAAGTTTATAAACCCAACAGAAAATGGTTTCCTTTACCCTTTTAGATATCCTATCATGCAAACAGAAACATCTAGATGAAGTACACTCACAGCAACTCACATCCCGAGACAAGAAACATCTCTCATACAGGTGCCACAGCAGGTTTACGACTTACAAATAAATCTGATGCTTCATATTACTGATTTAATTAGCCACCTACAGATTTTAATACCACAGACTGCTGCAGTCACATTAACTCTCCTTCATGCCGCCGTGGTGATAACGTAGACTCGGCCAGCAGCGTGATATCCTGGCCAGAAAGAAGACGTTTGTTTCCAGGTACTAATGACTCCATATTTGATTGATAGCCAGAGTACAAAGGTATAAATGTTTATGATTGGGACATCAGGCAGGTTGGAAGAAGCTGCTACACAATGTCTACAGTGCATGTTGGCAAGAACTATCATTGTTGGCAAACATTCAGGTCACCTGGTGCACAGGTGGTTACATGATGCAAACATTCAGGTCTCCAGGTGCACAGGTGGTCCAAACATTCTGGTTTCCAGGTATACAGGTGGTCCAGTGGTGCAAAGATTCATGTCACCATGGACACGGGTGGTTCAATGGTGCAAACATTCAGGTTTCCAGGTGCACAGGTGGTCCAGTGGTGCAAATGTTCAGGTCACCGAGTGAATGAGTGAGTGAGTTTGGTTTTACGCCGCTTTTAGCAATATCCCAGCAATATCACAGCGTGGGACAGTCACCAGAAACACATGTGGTTCAATGGTGCAAACATTCAGGACACCCTGGCACAGGTGGTCTAGTGGTGCAAACATTAAGTAGGTTACCATGGGTACAGATGGTCCAGTGGGGTAATGCATTACAAGTTTATTGAATACATATATGCAAGAGTTGCTTCCCTTACCTATGCCTGGATCTGCTGGTCATGGGTTTGAAAATTTGAAAGCATTTGACCGTCATCACTTCAGGCTTTCCTTCCTTAAAGCTGACACACCAAGATAAAACTGAAATACTACTCAAAGTGGCATTAAACCACCTCAGTTGATCAGCAGGCTGAACTCCCCAAGATTGATATCTGAATCTTCATAAAAGAGTTTCAGAAAATATCAGTTTTATGCCCTCAAACCAGTCCCGTCTGAGCTGTCCCTCTTGGGCTCCAAGTAGCCATGCAGGGGGTCTAATGAGCCAAATATCATTAAGCCGGAACTGCTGAAGATAACAAAATGGCTGCATCAAGATGTCCACCTGTACTGGCATGTGTGATAAAGACTGACCACTCTGACTCAGACCTGCCAGACATCAGTAGCCAAGCTTGTTAACCACTTACATGTCAGATATTAACCCCTTGGGTGTCAGATAGGCCAGTGTCAGCCATGTAACGTACTTGAAACTGAAGCGGTAGGCCCATGAACACACCATGCTTGGAGATACTGACGAGATACGCTGAGGTGTTTGCATAATGCTCTCAGGATGATCTCAGTCTCCTCCAAACCCACTTGACATGAGAGTAGTCCGCCACTGGGGTGGGAGATTACTTCATACGTGGACTATTATGCTTTCTGTTTATTTTCAAGTTTCAATTTAAGACTGGCAGACCCTAATCCTGACCACAAGAGACTGAAACATTGTAAGGGAGTGTACATGTGTGTTCCACATAAATGTCTTAAATCACCAATATGACCCACACTTGAAATATGCATTATGTCGGAAAGTGCTTGTTAAATCTCCAAATCATCATCATCATCATCATCATCATCATCATCACCACCATCACCATCATCAATACGACCAAGATGAGCATTGGTAAAACCTTTCTGTGATTTTCTCATCCAGGTAGGTATCATCATCATCATCATCATCATCACCATCATCATCAATACGACCCAGATGAGCATTGGTAAAACCTTTCTGTGATTTTCTCATCCAGGTAGGTAGCCAAGTGGATAAAGTGTTCATTTACAAAGCCCTGGGGTTTGATTCTCCATATCTAAAATTAAGTGAAGACCATTCTCATTGTCCATCAGTGTGATTTGACTGACATGTTGCTAAAGTGTCAAGCTCCCACACATCACTGACAGACATAATGTTTCCTTATTTCTTTTCATCAGTATATATATCTATGTGTGTGCATGTGCATGATGAAAAGAAATACATAATATGTTATGACATATTAAGTATAGTGATACAAAAAATATCAAGCATTCTCTCTTACAGTTGGATATGACACCAAATCTAACTGGTAGCTTTTTCCCAACTAACCATCTAAACACATGTAACCTTGAGCAAAATACTCATCAAGGAACCCTTACAATAAGGTACCGTAATCCTGATGCCGTAATACTGATGCAATACCCCTGTATTCTACCCCAGGAAGCGTGAAACGGCCACTACCAGAACACACTAACTATCAGGATATCCAAACTCACTGCACTTGCAGTTAATGACAACCTGATGTAGCCAGCTCAAAGACTTGCAGGAACTCTAAAAAACATTTCTCTATGTATACTTCGGAAATAAGAATCACACTGTGGATTTCAACGCAATGTGAACAGGTGCCTGAAATTGTTACAATTTCTTAAACGTCCTCAACAGTTAAAGTTTCATGGCGCCTTCAGAGCAAGTTTAAGACCTCCACTGTGTTGTCCCCACATGTGTGAGGCTGCATACCCCGACTCCAAGTATGTCCCCAAGTATGTCGGAACCAGCATTACTTCCATTACTGGATAGCCTAGGTGATGGTGGACGCCAAACTCAGGCAAAATGTCCATTTTACAATGCAGGTTGACATTTTCAAGAATTTGACACTAATTTTTAACATGTGTTGTTTCTGCACTTGATTTTACCCTTGCATGAATGTGTTTCTTAGTCACAGATAAACTTTACCTGCTTTTCAAAATATCTTTAGTATATCAACACCAAATAATTGAGGAAATATACAATAGATAATATACTAGAGAACAGACATTTTGAAGGTAACCTTGTACTGTTACTTCTGGCAAAACTATACAAATATTTGGAATGGAAAGAAGACATCTTGTGTTATAAAACAAGGTGAGGTGAACTTGGGTTTTAACGTCGTACTTGAGAATATTTTGCTCATATGACAACGTGCATGTGTGTGTATGTGTATGTGCGGCTGTTTGTACTAGCCCAGACTGAAGCTGGTTTTATAGTGCTAGCCCACTGAGATACCATGCCGCAGTGAAGCATGAATACCCCACTCAGACACATTATACTGACTCCGAGCCGACCAGTCCTTGTTGTACCCATTAATGCCGAGTGCCAGGCAGGGACCAACAAGTACCATATTTTAACGTCTTTTGGTATGAAGCGGTCGGGGATCGAACCCGCGACCTTCCGCTCTCTGAGCGGACACTCTAACCACTACACCACGGAGGCAGTCGTTATAAAACAAACAATAAATTGAAAATGATTACATGACATTAAATGTTCAACTAAAATATAAATAAAGTTGTTTCCATAAATAAATCTCTTAAATAAAAAAGATCGCCAACTCACTAACAGATTTTTTTTTCTTGACTGGCTGTAAATTGCAGGGCCCGGGCTAATACAACTGTGTTATTGTGGAAAAGGATGTAAAGATTTTGTTTTACTCAGTTATTTGTATGTCAATGATTAAATATACCTGTAAAATGACTACTGATACATTTATACATATGGACCAACAGTGTGTGCACGCACATATGGTGTCTTTTAAATATTTCTATAAGCCCATAAGCTTTCAAATTCTCTAAAAGAATTTTAGGTTCATGATTTTATCGTGTAAAACCCTATTCTCGATGGCTCATCTCCTATATCTTTTCAGCAGCATATGAATTTTTTTTCCCCGAATCAGAATGATGTATTTCATGAGAACAAACCACACTGACAATTCCATGTTTGGATCTGTACAATCTTGTTCAGATAATTCTCTTTTTGAAGTGTCATTATTTTAGTTGAATATTATGTTATTAATATTGGAGTTAATTTATAACCCTATCATCATGAGACAGTGTTATGCAATTACCTAACGAGGTTACGTCATATGAGCTATAGCTGTCAAGCCCAGCCAATCAAATTATGCTCTCTCATCATGTGACAAGCCGCAGTTAGATAAAGTTGTGAGACAGCTGAACAGGCCAATCAGAGGAGAGGGCTCCCCGGGCCAATCAAACAGGCTGGTTTTATTGGCTCTTGTAATGAAATAATGAAATGAAAATGGCGGTTTGGAGAGAAACTAGGAGCAAACTGACGTTGATTGTTGGAAAATGACAGCATGCCTGGACTGAAAGTTGATTTGTAACTCCGAGATTTGTTCATGTTTCTTCAAGAGCAGACATGTTTAATGCTTCTATGCATCAATTTGCAAGAGATACGGCTCCATTACTGTTTCAATTCAATACACAAGAAGCCCACCTAAACGTCACTCATAAACAACATGGAGGAGGTCATTGCAACTGTTTTATAAGGAGTAGCTGGATGATTCAGTGGTCTTGTAAAAGAATTTAACTTATGATCAATGCCAGAGCCCTGTTACATTATGTCATCGTAGCACAAGCATACATCTGTGTTGAAGCTGAAGCTATGACCGCCAAGCATTACGCCTCATAGCAAAGCTGTGGAAGTAGAGACAGTTGGCGCATGTGCTGAACTTACGACAGTTGTACTTGTAGCATTATGTCATCGCAACACTGTCGTAAGTCTGTCTCAGATGTTGTGTTAGTTGCAACATTACATCATTGTGGCACTATTACTATACTAAGCCTGAGCATTACGCCATTGCAGCACTATCGTAAGTCTGTGCTGAACTTACGACAGATAAAGCATTACCTCATCGCAGCACTACTGCTATCGTAAATCTATCTTAAGTCTTACTGACATGTAAGAAGGAATAGAATGGGGCAAAGATCAAGTGAGTGTTTTGGAATATATTGCTGATAAGGGAGTCATCAAGAATCATTAAATTTCTCTA